CCCCCCCCCCTTCTGGCATATATGCAGATGAGGTGGCGAGGTGTCGCGACGGAGTGCCAGAGGGAGGCGGAGTAACTTTTCGCGACACTACGGTAGCACGCGGTAGCGCGCGTAGCCGCGCCACGGACGGAGGCAGAATATTTAGACTGATGCCGTCTTGCCTCGACGCCCCTCCCTCACCCCCCTCCCCATTGGCATCCGCCCCGCGGCAATGGTGCAGGATCGAGCGGCGCGTCTCGCGCCGTCCTTTCCGAAGCTACCTGTCCTTTGGCGCGCTTTGGCGTCTCGGTTGGTGCAGTTACTTCCGGCACCACCACCATCGCCTCTGGCCACCCGGCCCGACCCCACGCGCCCTTTGGCTTTGGACCGCCTCTGGCCAGACCTTCACCCGGTACTGTACTTCGGCGTAATCGGTTTTGCGTCCGGGTTGTAACGAACGTCAGGACCAAGGCGGGGGGCGGGTGCAGGTATGGAGGGAGCTGTAATTCCGTTACCCGACGACTTGATTTTGGTCTCGTACCGTATCACAAACGACTACGGGATACTCTCCAATACTTCTAGCACCGATGTTCACCGAGGCCTTACTTCATACATCTAATCTGCACGGTGAAAACAATGTCTGATCTTTTGAGGGAAAAGGGAAAACTTCGATGAAAATCAGACATATTGTTTTTACAGTGTTCATAAAAATAGTACAAAAATGTGTAATAATCATTTCGATTTTGCCGTTAGTTAATGCCCCTTTTTTTGTGTGTGTGTTCCAGGGCGTAGAGAGACCTGCCCCGCCATGGATGCGGTCGACTTGGGCGCGCCGCAGACGATGTTCAACCTGAGCCACAACGACACGCTCAACGGCACCGCGTACGACGATGAGGAGTGCCACGACCCCATCGAGTGCCCGGCCGTGCAGGCCTTCTTCTGCCTCCTGTACACGACCATCTTTGTGCTGGGCGTGTTTGGCAACGTGCTCGTCTGCTACGTGGTGGGCCGCAACCGCGCCATGCAGACCGTCACCAACTTCTTCATCACCAACCTGGCGCTGTCCGACATCCTGCTGTGCATCCTCGCCGTGCCCTTCACCCCATTGTACACGTTTGTGGGCAACTGGGTGTTCGGGCGCGTGCTCTGCCACCTGGTCGCCTACGCCCAGGGCACCAGCGTGTACATCTCGACGCTCACGCTCACGTCCATTGCCATCGACCGTTACTTCGTCATCATCTACCCCTTTCAGGTGAGGCCCCCCCCCCCCTTTCCTGCGCCTCCTGTCCTCTTAGACGGATTGTAGTAGTTTTCATCAAACTTTATGTGTTGCCTTTGATGTCATCCGGGAGCCTAGCCAGCCGCCTGCATAGCCGCCTCTGCTTCTGCAAGACTCTACGACCTTAACGTTCACGCTGCTATAACGCAAAGAGAGAAAAGGGAAGAAAAGAGTAGAACCCAATTCAAGTATTAGCTGGATTTGTGGCATGTAACATAACGTGAGCTTTTTCTGGTTTGCTTGGTAAGCTGCACGAACAACTGTCAACCTAGTTATGTCTCCAGAAGGAGAGACTGCTGTGCCCTTCTTTTGCTAAAAAAACAAACAAACAGAAAAACAGCTGATGGTAGCTGCGCGTCGCGTCCCCCCAGAGGTGATTAATCAGAGAGAGAGAGAGAGAGAGAGAGAGAGAGAGAGAGAGAGAGAGAGAGAGAGATCAGCACGCCAACGCAGGCGTGCGTCAGGAATAGCGCTGGCCGAGTGCAGCGGACCGCGCGGGACTCCAGCTCCGTAGTGGCGGTCCGAAGAGTCCAGGGCGGGGCGGGGCGGGGTGGAGCACTGCTCTTCTCGCCGGCCAGCAGCAGAGGAGCACTCAAATTATGGAGTGTGCGTGCTTCAGAGAACTCGGACCCCTCGGCAAAGGACCCGGCACGGCCTTGCGAGCGTTGCATGCTGCTTGCCCAACTCTCCACCAGCCCCACAGTAGCAGGAGCGAGCAGCAACAAAAAGGTGCCGCAGAGCGCTTGCATCTGCCCGGACGGCGACAGCAGGGCCGACGAAAAGGGTGACTCTTTCTCGACTCGTAAGTTTTTTCTGCTGTCCCCCTTTTCCTTCTCCCCTAGCGGCTCCTCGTTCCTCGTATCACGACGAACTCGTCCCAGGACGGGACGGGCGGGGGCGGGCGGGCCGAGGAGGTTGAGGAGCCCTCCGAGCCCGGCAGAGACCCGCAGAGCCCCGCCTCTTCGCCGAGCGTTAAGGCCGCATTATGATCCCCATAAACAAAACTTGGGAATGGTTTCCGCCGGGCACGGCGGCCGGCCCGGCCCGGGTGGCACCGGGCAGGGAGCTCCGGGAGCAGGGGCTCGCCGGGCATCGGGGGGAGAGTGAGACAGAGAGAGACGTGGGGAGCCAGAGGGAAGGAGAGAGAGACATGGGGGATGTTTGAAGGGCATATTGCGCCGGGGAGATCACTGTCGCCGTAAATATTCCGCTAGGGGCGGGGCGCGGCTGGGCGGCGGCTTGCTGTCCACCACTAACCACCACCACCATCCACCACCTCCTCCACCACCACCACCCCTTATTCGGCGGCTGCAGTACCAGCGGCACCAGCACCACCACCACCCCTTATTCGGCGGCTGCAGTACCAGCGGCACCAGCGGCACCAGCGGCACCAGCTCCACTAGACAGCCACACAGTGGACAGGCGGCCCGGGGCAGACCTTGACTGAATCAGGAGAGGTTCGTGCTCTTCATCAGCACGCACAGCACCTATACACAACCCACACCCGTCCTCCGCTCCGGCCTGGCCCGGGTACTGTCGGTCAGCTCCGGCGACGCCTCTGCGCGACGGCCCTGCTTAAGCACCCACCACGCGCCCTTCTCGGCGTCGCCCCCGGCGATATTGGGGAGCGGGTGGAAGGGTACACAAAGGTGGGGGGCGGGGAGGAGGTCACCCCTAAGAGGAAGACTGGGCCGGCGCCCGGACCGCGCGCTGGCCGGGGCGGCCCGGAAGGACTTCATCAATTTCGTGGACCATTAGGCGGCGCGCTCGGTATAGGAAGTGCTTGAAAACTATGCGCGGGGCCCCACCCCACCCCACCCCACCCCACGACAGGCTGCTGCTGCTGCTGCTGCTGACTGACTGGGCTCTGGTCTGCTGCTCTGGTCGTGGCGTGGCCTGGAGATTGAGAGCGGGAAAGACTTGTGGCGCGAAGTAAAGTGAACCGCAAGGCGCGAGGGGCAAGGGCAGAGGTTTAGGCGGGACGTCGTGGCCGGCGCCTTTCCCCGTTCATGGCCGCGGAGCACGCCCAGGCAGGCGCGCCGACCTGCGCCGTTCAATTTTCGCGACCGCAAATTACCCAGCACGAGCACGCCCAACAACAGCAGCAGCGCAGGCGGCCGGGCGGCCTCACGCTGCGGACGCGCAGCCCCATTGTCGCCCCC